AATATACATGGCGTATCCAATTACCCCATGAATTTCTGTTGCTGTTTCCAATTGCCCCAAGTGGGGTAATTGGAAATGTTCGTTAGAGCTTTCAGCAAAACACCAGGAAGTTCGCTTGGGACACGGAGTTTTTGGGAAATTTTTAGATTGGGCTTATAGAGAACTTCCTCCTCTATCCACCTGTAAATAGAGCGCAAAAAGATAATTAAAATTAACAAAGTTATACGAATTAGACGTTCAAAGAGTCAAAAATCGTTTCCAATTGCCTCAGTTTACTGTACTAAAACCATCGTTCTACAAATATAAAAGGCTGGTACATTCAGATGAACTTAGAAAAATCCATGTTTTTATATCGGTTGTAGAGGTTTGAATTGCAATCGCCGGGTAGACAAGGAAAATTACCAATGGTGTCTAGAATAAGCAAAGAACTAAATAGCATTAGCCCAGATGATGGAAAGCGATCACTCTCCCTATTATCGACAGCTTTATCGTCAACGTCAAGTGACCAAGTTCGTGAAACTATCAATTTCATTCATAGAGTGTTTCATGTCGAGAGTATTTTAGGAACTTTTAAAGAAGGAAAACCACCTTTCTCGAAGAAAGTCACTGGAACGTATACAACAGGAATATCAACAGTATGTGTGAAGATGTCAAAGAACGCTTATCTTTTTATTCTGTTGTTTTTATCAACTGTTATACTAGTACATTTTTACGAGCTTTTCAAGTACTCATGGTATCTGTTGGCCTTTCAATTGTACTAGGTGTCATTGTTTATTTTGTTGCACACGCAACACTACGTAAGTCTCTCTCTCTTCATACGGTCTTTATTGGTAAATTTGTGATTGTTTGCATCTTATTTAGCACGGCAAAGTCCATCAACAACAACAACCATTTCAAGTAGGACTACTATCCATATTCATTCCTTATTCAAAGAGTTATGTTGTTTTCATTTTAGCGACATCAGTATCGAGTATGCATTTTAAATGATGACAACACACTAAGTACGATAAATAAACTTCTTTTGTTATTTTCTTAATTAGATATAAACACCGCATCAACGCCTACCACGCTAACAAGTGAGTTTTTATGAATTATTATCTATATTCTTATACTCATCTATCTACAGTATGGACTATCTTTCAATCGGATTTCAAAGTTCAGTGAAACAGCTCTGATGAGTACAAGTAAGAATTTAAAAATTCGACTTTTGCAGTTCATAAACGTAAATTAGCTCTTGTAAAAAATGTTTTCCATAACTTTGTGTATCAGGAGGAAAATAGGTCTACAAAAGCACTGAAAGTTTAGAACTCCCACTCACCGCTACTTAAGACCTCATGTAAAAACGGATAGCAAACTTTTTTCAAACTTGATTTCAAGTAGGACTACTACACATATATATTCCTTATTTAAACAGTTCTTTGTGTTCATTTTAGCGATATCAGGCCCCAGTATGCATTTTAAATGATGACAACACACTAAGTACGATAAATAAACCCTTTTTTGTTATTTTCTTAATTAGCTACAAACGCACCATCAACGACTATCGTGGTAACAAGTGAGTCTTTATGAGTTATTATAGCTTCCTAGAATCCTAAACGTCACTTGAAGATCCAATATAAAACATTGCATTATTTCATAATGTTTGTTTATTAGAAGTATAAAGGATGATCCATAAGTTTTGAAGTCCCTCAGTAAATTAACATTATCTATATGAAATACATCTAATAAGATTCAGCTGTTTTTTGCAAAAGTTTCCCCATTTAATTCTCTACAAAATGGTATATAGGAGACGATCCTGAGAGTTGAGATGCTGTCGTAATTGAACCGAAATCGAAATGTCCCAAAACTTTCAATGCCCCCAAAACGAAGAATGCATTTCGTCAGTATAAGCTTGAATGTATGTGTTGTGCCCATATCGAATAGTAAAAAATGTAGCTCTTGGAATTTTCTGTCGAATGGCTATAATACTAATTTTCTGTCGTTATTTCCGTGTTTTCAATAATGCTTTTTGCAAAAGCCCTGTGAATGTTTTTTCAGTTTTTTCGATCTGTATTTTGGGGCTGTTTATAAAATGGACGGTGCTCACTCACAAATGAATAAATCAGCCTCATTCTTGTGTCATTTTGAAGAGAGATGTTTTGTCTATTTGATTAACATACGAAATGTCTGATGTCACTTCCCTCAAAATAATCAAAACACCGCAACCAAAGGGTGACCAATAAGTTTCGGGCTCTCTGGAAAAAAATGCTTTTCTTTCTTAATGTCAATCCAAAAAAGCTCAAACATTTAACATTTAATGTCTTACAACTAGATGATTATTACTGTAGATTTTTATATCACTAGCTCTATTAGTAAGGAGGATATATAAACAACGCATGTAAAGAAAACGCGGTTTTTCGTTTCTTGGAACATCGGCATCTCAACTTTCAGGATCATCTCCTATATACCGTTTTGTAGAAAATTAAATGGGAAAACTTTTGCAAAAAACAGCTGAATCTTATTATATGTATTTCATATTGATAATGTTAATTTACAGAGGGGGTCCAAAACTTATGGATCACCCTCTAGTAGAATTAATGCATCATTTTTTCCATGAAATGTCCTGACTGCTCATACCAAGTATATGGAAGTCAGTCATGTCAGTTAGAATTAGAACTGAAACAAACCATTGAGATCTGAGATAGTTGCATTACCCATTGATCTAGGATGAAATTGTCAGAAATTCGAAGCAAAATTTAATTTCTCTAAAAAAGGGCAATCATGCCAGAGTCCTAATATTTCAAAAAATCGTTGAAAACACTTTTAGGTACAATTCTTCCTTCGGCTAACTCTGGAAAGATATTAACAGGATTGCTAATACATGTTTTTTCATTGAAATCATATCTATTACAAAAAGAAAACAAAATTTCATCGTCACCTGAGATATCAGGTCAGATTAGTAAACATTTCTGAGTATAATGGTTCTCAGCAGTGTTGTTCCCACCAAGGAGTGTTGGAAGCATCGATAACTAGATTGCTGTGACAGGCAGGTCGCTGGATATTCGTTGCATGTGGATAATGAGATTCATATTTTTCGCTAATGAAGCTTCTCTTACACATCTTGAAAAAGATGAGAATGAATTGTTTTTGAGAAAAGAACTCCTTCTCACACATAATTACAAAAATAATTACGACAGATTATACGAGAAACTACGTTCTGCATATTTAAAATTTTTCGGCGAAACTGTGAACCAGATACATATCTCAAATGGGCAGTAAGGGATCACTGCGTACATCGTAAGTGGGCTATGAAAAAAGATTGCTATCAGAAATTGACCTCTTTGAACCTTGATCGACATTGGAAACAACATTTCGCCGTAGAAGCGATTAAAAAAACTGACGCCGTTATAGATAAAAGTTGATCTCGTCGTTAGAAAGTGCTTGAAGAATTACATGGACTTCTACAGTGTTGAATTAAAAGTCTTTCAGATACTTGGTAACTCTTCGAACAAAATTTTTTGATAAAAGTTTAGTAGAATTTTATATTTCAATCTGGGTACCAAACTTTATTTCTAAAAGCGGTCAAGGAAAAAATGACGATTTCATGGGGAAAATAAAGTTTATCGTCAGAAAGAGCTCGAAAATCGTTCTCAGTATATATATGTATCGAAAAGGAAGAAAAAAAGTATGTGTGGAAAACGATCGGGTCAGGAGTATATCTCACTCTGAGCAGTGAAGGTGAACCTTCTATTTTCAGATTGAGATAGAATCTTGGATAAAAATGTTGTTAAATATTTTTCGTGAGTGATTGAAAGGACATTGAATAAAACTAAAGAAGGTTCTATGTAGTTTTTCGTGCTCTCTAAAACAGCTCGAGATCAATTTTTTCCCATCATTTTTCTATTTATCGTTTCTACGATGAAATTTTGTGTTTCGCATCGCAGTTGGGATATAGGAGGTGATTCCTTACTACGGGTTCTGATGTATTTGACTAATGAAGAGTACAGGAAACAGGACGTTAAAAACCTGAAAATGGTCTGGGGTGTTTCAGTGAACTATTAAGAACATTCTCCAGATGCGAAAAGTAATCACTAATAAAAAGAGATGAAACGTTTGCAAAGAATAAAAGATGCTTGACTCCAAGGCACGTCAGTTCTAGATAGCCTGTAAAATCTTTCAATAGACCTCAATATTTTTTTATATATTTTAGCAAGCACAACAAGTGAGTTCACTAAGCTATAAATATTTTCATGTGTACTATGTTTTTTACTTTTGCTTTAGCCATTTCATGCGGTACTCCATCATCCACAAATATAATATTTTTAAGTTCACTTTTGACTATTGAATCCACTAGTTTTACACAGTATCAATACAATTTTTCTGCGACTGGCACGACAGCAACCGTTTCATTTTCATTCTCATCAGGTAACAAACATTTGTGGTATCTGGACAATGTAAGTATTCAACATACGGGAACAGAGATGCTGACAAACGGGGATTTTGAAAATGGAATGTCGTTCAATGGTTGGACACACTCGTGTAGCGGGTCATGTGCTAGTGTGACAAATACTACATCTCAGAGCGGCAGTCAAAGTTATATCAACGATTGTGCATACTCGTCAGCAGATGATACTATCAGTCAGACATTCGCGAGTGTGATTGGTGATGTTTATTCGCTAAGTTTTTATCTAGAATTCTATAGAACTAGTCCCGGTGTTGGTTCGGGCACAGATGAAGCATTTATTAAAATGTACTAGTACAAGAAACTTAAATATTTTCAACTATGGATTAATTTGTTATAAAATTTAAAATATCAAAATGTAGTTTATTTACGGATGGCTGCCTGTTTCCATTGGCCACCTATTGCACCTTATGCTTCTTTGTTCTTCTTTGAAGTCTGTGAGACATCATGAAAGTATCATGCATTCCACTACACCAAACTCCGCTTACATTACCAGCCAAGTTTTGCGTCATTGAGAAGTCCAACTTCATGCTAGAGTCTTAAATTTGACCAAATTCTTCCAGAAAAAATTGATAAACTTCGTTTTTTACCGCTCTGACAGCTTCTGGCTCAAAATGAGATGATTGGCGCATTCTAAGCAAATATTACCGTAAAAAGCTGTTATAACAGTTAGACTCATATATAATAGGAATAGTCTGACTATATCCGTTGGAAGAGTTACGTGCCAATAACTCCTGCCACTAGTAGAGCTTCCGCCACCACTGGCTGAAAAGTAGCTGGCAACAGTTAAAACGTGGAGGAAAATTCAAAATTGCTTCCGTCAACTTTCGAAAACATTTGATATGGTCGACTGAAAACATATCTTGAAGATCACCTCGAATATATGAACTTCTATGATCCACGTGGATCCGAAGTTGTTTTGATGCGAAAACTAAACGTTTTTGAGATATCCTCATTTCGAACAAACGTAAAATCACTGTAAAACTTTGACTTCTGACTTATCTAAAACAGACTAAGCTGTACTTTTGATTTTATTCAATCTGGCATGAAAATATCCATATTTCGGTCATTCCTCCCTTACCGCATATTTTTTTCTTCAAAAAACTTGAGGCTTAATGAAACAGAATTTTTCATTCATAACGCTACTTTGGGAAGAGTATGAAATAGATCATTCTGCTCAATTTCATATGCTCTTCTGGTTGCAGCACAGTCAGACAGTACGGGTAAAATTATCCGATTTATAAATTATTTTCTATTTTCTTCAAATTTCGACGGCGGCTATTTTGATAGGAGTCGTTGGCAGGTAACTTATAACAACCGACTTTATTTTTCGTTTCGACGGGACAGAAGATTGGTGAATAGAACCCGCTAATGTAGGCAAACATTAGTGAGCAATTACAATTAAACTATCATATAAAGAGTTCCAACATTGATTGCTTGTTATCTCGCGCTTATCAAATAATCATCATTAGAAGAACGCAGTTACGCTGAGCGAGACCAATGCGAATGCTTCGTTAAGTAATTATCACATTTTATAAAATTCTGTATAAAATTTTAGTTTTTCAAAATAAAAAATTAAAATTCCAGTTGCATCATTTCAATAGGCGGTTAGTGCGTATGATCGACAGTTAAACGATCTTTACCGCGAATAAAAAATCGGCATATCTCATCTTTCGTTTCGACAGGAATCTCTATCCGATGGTTTGAACAGAAGTTCGCTGCACTAATGTGCTATTATCAAATCTCGAAAGATCTCAAACAACTTAACTTAAATAATACATATACTAACGTTCACGCTCACTTTTACTGTATTGTCATATTCATGGCCTACTAAAAAATATTGATACTCTTCTATTTTCGTCTTGTCTTCCTGTTATTTATCTACAAGTAAATAGTAAATAGTAAATAGCTCTGTTTTGATGGAAGATTGTTGTTGTCGTTGTGTGAAGGAAAATGGGACTTGTGAAAACCTCTATTGAACTAATTTTGTTCGTGAGATTTTAAAGATTAATTTTCATGGTATTCCAAGTAAAACACTAATAGTCATCTTTGCTGTATCAGAAATCGGCGCAACTACTTGACATACAATACATAAATTCAATTTTCTTTTCAAGTCGTTCCGAAGTGGTGAACGGATGAAATATTAGCGACAAGGCTAATCCGCCTACGGTTTGTTGTGGCAAAAACTATTTTTTGTCATTTTCTAACGTCAAAATTCAGTTTTTGAATTTCAATAAATAATTTGACAGGATGTGAGTCAATAAGCGATGATATTATCAGCCCTTGAAACAGTGAAAATCTTTTTTCGCACACTTCTTTGAACTATACATTATGCTATGCAGACTTTGATGATGACAAAAATCGGATCGATTTTGTTTAAAAATGCATTTTGAACGAGAAAAATACTTTTTTCTCCTGGCATCTTTATGTCCTTGTTGAACATTCGGTGAACAGTCTCAAGAAAGAGATATTCCTAAGTTTACAAAGCGATCAGATATATGTAAAAATAGTGGCTCTTTATGAATATGTCGAAGAAGATCATTAAAGTATCAAAAAGTCCAGAGGACTTGGAAAATTATAGAAAATCATCTACTATATTTAACCCCCTTTGCCTGTTACTCCAAAAGAAAAGCTGGCACTGAAACGATAATTTAACGGTAACCAGTCAGCAGAACGATCGATTCCCAGTCACCGTAATCAGTTCAACGGAGTCAGCCGAGAATAATCATGCGACAAGTGCGAATATTCAGATTTAGTCGGATTTGAATTCGATGAGAAGTGAGATTCGAAGGATTCGCTTTTTTAAATTTAGAGAGGAAACGTCAGAGGAAGACTCATTACATACCTTAAAAGTCTAAAACTCTTTAAATCACGAACCGCTCCAAATCTGGCTGAATTCGAATTCATTTAAAGCTGTATCATTGTACATGATTCAGATTTGATGTATGCCTAACTGCGGGAGGAGGAGGACGATGCCACACCAGCTAGTTACCTCACTTGATCAGTCGGCCGCTAACAAGAGGATACATTACAACACAACCCGATAGATGACGAATAGTTCTCTCAACCTTGATAACCCATGCCCATTAGGTATGCACCAGTTAAAAACGGGTGTTGAGACATCCGGAAGAATTACTATACATCAGTTATCACGATTCACTCGGAGCTGTAAAACATTACATTTTGTAGAAAAATGTTTGCTCTACAAAATGTAGTAAATCACAGCAAAAAGACTGTTTTTGACACCTAGGTATTTACCAGTTTTTCACTAATGTTGGGGCATCCAGGAAAATTACCATGCATCGGTTACCAAGAGCTGCTCATAGCTGCGCAAGAAAAATGTTTGCTCTACAAATGCATTTATTAAAAAGATTCCAAAATCATTTCTAAGAAAGCTTAGAGCATTCTAAAATGCACCAAATCATGAAAAAAACTGTTCGAACAGACTTTTTCCCGTGATTTAATGTATTTTTGAATGCTCTAAGCTTTCTTAGAAATGATTTTAGAATCTTTTTAATAAATGCATTTGTAGAGCAAACATTTTCTATAAAATGAGATGTTTCACAGTTCTAAATGAATCGTGATAACTCATGTAGCAATTCTTCTGGACGCCCCAACACCAGTTTTTAACTGGTGCATATCTAATTCCCATTGAAGAGTCCGAGACGATTTCCAAAATTATTTTCCAAGCTATATATTCGTTCCACTTTTGGTCGAAGTATGTCGAAGATACAATGATAAAAACTCTCTAAACGATTTATATCTATTTGAAAACGTGTTTCTTGTGTTAGCTCCAAAATTTATGATATTGGCGCTGCTTTGTCTGTAGCTCCAAAGCTTCAGTGACGCCAAGCCATTTCAAAAGTCTCATCCTCGAGGGCATAACCTTGAGTGCTCAGCTTTCTCTTTTAGGCATTGTCTCCAACTATTCGTCAAATACTGGTGTGTGGATGGCGTATCATGCAAGTGCTAATGCTAGGAATAAACCCGTAGGACCAGCATCAACGATAATAATTTGATTATTTATAGTTGTTCTGTTTAGTCTAGTATCGCCTTCTTCCATAGTGTTGGAATAGTTTTGTTAATGAGATATCAATATAGTAGTAATGTGCAGTGGACAATCATGTGGACATTTTGTGAAAAACTGAAAGTGAGCTTCTTCACGATTCGAATACTATCAGATATACTTTGCTTAATGGCCGATTTAATTGCGAAAAATGTTTTCTTACAGCTCTTAACTTCGTCGAAAACACTTAAGCGCAAAAACCGGTTGGATATCAGCAACCGCATAGAAAAATAACATTTTTTATAGAAAGGAGAGAAAGTGGATGTATGAATTATACATATTTTGAAAGTAGAGCTTGCGTTCTACCGATTTGTAAAAATGTTTTTAGTTTAACACTTTTCGGGTGGAAAAAAATAAATATTCGGTTCGTCGTTAGTGATTTTGAAAAATAGTAGAAAGCGAAAATATTTTCTTCGTACCTCGGATGGAGGCAACCTGAGATCGGATACAAGATCTTTCCCAGATGTATCAAAATCCCGTGTCAGATGTGCCGCAAGTTTTTGTACAGATTCAAGTGAATCCTGTAACGTCTCAAAACTGCAACCAAACAATGCGCAAGCGTATTCGAGCTAGCCCAGAACACATGTTTTGAAAATATGAAGCCGTACTGAAGCAGGAGCTTCTTTAAACTGGCGGTAAACAGCATGTAGACGTTGCCTACGGGTTTTAACCAGAACGTCTGTATGTGCTCGCTACCTAAGTTTATAGTTGATTTTTAAAACTAGAAGGACTAGACTTTGTTTCCCCTGAATAATGGAACCGTCGTGTAATTTAAACTGAAAAGTATCAGCTTTATTTGCGCTGTTAGAAACAAACATTCATGCACACTTGGTAGGATTAAGCGTCATGAAGTATGAATTACACCAATCACATATTTTGGCATTATCTTCTGATAAAATTGTGGCAAACAAGCAGAAGTAACGGGACAAATCAGCGTAAAATCGTCAGCAAAAAGGATGGCATCGGCAGGGAGCTGGGCTGCAGAGGATAACTCATTAATAAATATAAGGAATAGTAGAGCCCCTAACACTGATCCCTGGATTACACCCGATTTTAGTGGTGTAGGAAGAGACAGGAAAGACCCTCCTCTAACTGGTTGTGATCTATCAGTAAGATAATTTTCGAACCATTGGAGACATAGAGGAGAAAGACCTAGAGTGCATGAACGAGAAGTTATAAGTTGATAAGGTACGTTATCAAAAGCTTTTTCCATATCAAATGCGATCACG